AAAATGACGGCGAAGGCTTAGCCTAGAAGTGGCTATGGAAGAACATAGTAAAAGCTATGGAAGCACATAGTAAGAGAATAGGATACTAATAACTGCGGGTAAACGGGGGGAGAGAGAGAATACGATGTATCTGTGATACTACGTGCGGGTTACTGAACTGCACGGGGAGGGAGAGCAGAGCAATCAGCAGCAACTCGAACTACTCCCTACAGGCGTATGGTACACATGCATGCTTAAACTCAGGTAGCCGGGTAATTGTGCGGACCTCACCAGGGAGAGCGTTCCACAGCAGTTGATTTTTCGAAAGTCGTAAAACTCAAGTCGCAGTGGGAAGCAACACGTCAAAAACTCACCTGCTTCGTATGGCGCTTCTGGTCATCGCAGGGCCATGAAATTTTTGCTGGGAGTACAACACATCGTAGTCTCACTGTGACATGTGTTTTCTAATCATAATACCAAGAGAGAAAGTGAATATTGAGTCCGTTCCGGTTTGCAACCTGTGTCCTATTTGAAACCGTCGCCTCTACCACTACGTGTACCTGTTCATTTTTGTCCGTCGATGCATTACTTGCAGTATTGCACAGCGCAGCGTCAAGGTCGAGGCCCGTTATAGCATCGCTTGATGAACTAGTGGTGGTGGCCGCGGGGTATTTCCAGTAAAAGTCCCTGGCTTTGGCCTTCAGGTCGTCAATTTTGTTCACCACAACTGAACAGGGTTCTACTTCCTATCCAAACAGTTCGAAATACTCGCTCGTCAGTGAATTATCTCTCTCTCTCTCTCTCTCTCTCTCTCTCTCTCTCTACAACACCTTCCTCTTCACCAGACCCCGAGATTTCTCTGCATGTCCAGCCACGACTGTATCAATGTCGCCTCAGAGTCGTAGCTGAAACGGACGTGTGGCATTATGAAAACTCCAAAGCAAAAACAAGCTGCAGCAGCTGGAAACAACAAGAAACAATGCGATCCGAAAACAACACCGATCGACTCTCACACAACAAACACTGCGAAAACAGCGCGTAGATGAGAAACTTGCTTTGTACATGGGTCCTCGACTCACGTTCCCCGTTATCGGCGATTTTTCGTCACTCACCTTGGCAACAAGCATGTTTACGGCGTGTTTACGTGGTTTTCTACCTAGTCTGGACCTAAGAGTAGTGCACGTCAGCAGGGAAGTTTAGTTACACATAGTCCGTGTGCACTTTGAGTGTGTTTACCACGTGATCATACACAAAAACCACGTGATACGACTCAGTTTGGACCTTTCGCTACATACTTTTGTATGTTCCGTGTGACTCAAAACAACATTGCGAACGTGGGTCCATTGCATGCATGAACTTTACGTGTATCACCCACGTTCCCGTGTCCGTTACGTGGGACAAAACCTCTGTACTATACTTGTAAAACGTAGTAGTCCACACACCTGCTACACACTTATCAGTACAAGTACGTTTATTACATCACAATCATAATGCAAGCGCACGGACGGGTACAGTACCTGCCCATCGCTGCAGGCAGCATACCGTTTCGGACAAGTCGGCTTCCTCAGTGTAACAACGGGATGAAGTGAACAGAAAGCCATGTCGACAACACTATGAATTGTACATACATCAAAGTAACCGGTGTAGTGCTTACACATCCCACAGCTACAACGCTAACATCTAGTAGTCTCCTACCGCTACAACTAAGGTATACTATAAGTCAGAGCTCTCGTACTTACAAACACCTAGTTGACTCTGTAAATCTGTCGCTGAGTTCAGTTTTCTACCTCCGAGACATTGTTTATCTGAAAGAGAACATGGCGACGGAACCAGTCGAGAACGAACTGGATTGTGTTCTAGAGGATGTATGGATTGAAGTTCTGTTACCTTTGCTATCAATTCGCGACATCTTTCAACTCTGTGCTGTCAACAGGCGCATCCAAGAGCTGTTGCTGAATGAGCGCACATTTAGACGTCTCTGTCAGGTGAGTAGTAATGTACAGGAGTCGTGTGTTCGTGTGTTTGGAGAAATTTGGTTTCAAGTAGAGTCAGTATCCTCTAAAGCGTACCGATCACTTCGTGTATATAATTCGATGTGTCACATGCGCATATACATGTAGACCATAGGGTCCCCAACCGTTTGAAAATATCTCTGGCCGCGTATCTCTAGCAGTTATCCATCAGCACTCGACCGAAGGCCTGTGATTAGCTTAGATTGCCTTAGATTAAGTTGTGGCTGCTGGAGACAATAAAAGTATCGGCAAGTCTGTACAGTTGTCCGTTTATTAGATATGGCGATCTTCCGCTGCATACAGAAATTGTACCTGTACTCAAACCCAGTCATTCCAGGGTATAGTGGGTTTCTGCCTACAGAGTCCGTTTTAGACTCCAGTTGGCGGCAGTCCCGGCGGGTACGACTCGTTGGTGGCAATAAAACATCATTCAGCTGAATAGATTGAACAAACTAATACACAGCAAAATGCACAACAGAAGAGCAAAGACACTCAAGGCTTGGTTGCTGCTACTTCAAGTTTCATGCTCACGCAATCATCAGGCAATGGCACTCTGGGTGCATCCTCCGGTACAAAGCAAAATGTAAAATTCAGGTGGACTTGCAAGGGCAGTGCGAGCAACTGTACAAAATTACAATCAAATATTTTTCATGCTAGTCTTCATGGCTGTCAAACTTCGAGTTGTGTAACGTTACGCTCAGTGCCTGATACAAATTAAGTGTTGGTGCTACAAGATGAAAAGTACATCGGCTGTTTCATGTACTCAAAAGCAGCAGCAATTAGAAGACAGTAGCAACGAGCCACCATAATTCAAACTATAAGTGAAAAGACAACCAAATTATTCACATGACATACAATTAGTCGCTTTGTCTGTCTCAAGTGGCGCTGCAGTCAGGATCCATTTGGCAAACGTGGGGCCATGCATCATATGGACGTTAAATGTGATGATTGGTAAACAACAGAGAGAAACAGAAAACATTTTTTAAATATCGATCATAGGAACCACGAGAGGGTTTGGAGGAAAATGGGACCAAACGAACTCCAACACACACCCGAGAAACATTAGAAATCAAGGATCTTAGGCTGGATAGCTGCCGAGCGAGGAAGAACAGAGATGGTATGCTCTGATTCTAGTATAACATTGTACTATTCAATACTTTTACGACTACAGCCGATTACCGTTTATACCTTTCGGAGGAAGAGGTTGTTTCGACTTCTGCGATAGTTTAAATTATGCGTGGCTACCTACACGGTACCCGGCACGCATCCTGCAGACTTAAACTTGCACTATACTGACTTACTATTGCCATCCAGAGCACACAAGATGTCCATCGAACAGTCCACTCGGAAAATTTGCAAGAACGCACTACTGTCCTTGCTCAATACACAGTGTATGGGGGAGTTCACCCCTCATCAGTTGAGCTTGAGTAGGCTTATGAAATTTGTGCTTCGTCAGCACTGAATTATGTAATGAATTATATAATGCTTTCTGCGCGCAGAAACATGCATGTATCTAGCGATGCTAACTTCAGCAACACTACGTACCAAGGTTAACAAACATCTATAGCGATGCTAACTTCAGCAACACTCCGTATCAAGGTTAACAAACATCGCTAGCGATGCTAACTTCAGCAACACTCCGTATCAAGGCTAACAAACATCTCTAGCGATGCTAACTTCAGCAACACTCCGTATCAAGGTTAACAAAAATCTCTAACGATGCTAACTTCAGCAACACTCCGTATCAAGGTTAACAAACATCTATAGCGATACTAACTTCAGCAACACTCCGTATCAAGGTTAACAAACATCTCTAGCAATGCTAACTTCAGCAACACTCCTTATCAAGGTTAACAAACATCGCTAGCGATGCTAACTTCAGCAACACTCCGTATCAAGGTTAACAATCATCTCTAGCAATGCTAACTTCAGCAACACTCCGTATCAAGGTTAACAAACATCTCGTGAACTCCATACATCACTGTAAGTTAGTGTCACTCAGTTTGCAGGAAAAATGCGAGTTTCTATGTAGGGCCGCGACACACAATTCCCAATGATATTTGCACTGGTAAAATGTATGCTGTAGTAAACATAATGACCAAGAAACTACTCAGATCTGTGGACAGCAGCTGTTTCGCTCTGTTAGATCTCCTCACCACAGCTTAGAGGACCGAAGCGCAGCTCTTCGCAATGAAATACGTTTCCGTGCAGCAAAGCATTATTATAAAGTGCTGCAAACCCCGCCGAGAGTGCTCGAAATGCTCCAAGAGCAGTGAGCGTTGCTCAAGGCGAGTGGCAAGGGTTCGCGCTAAGGAAAGAGTTCTCAACCTAACGACATTGCTGACGCTAGGGAGCATAATACTCAAATCTGTGGACAGCAACTGTTTCGCTCTGTTAGAGCTCTTCAGCACAGTTCAGTGGACCGAAATGCAGTTCTTCACAATAAAATACCTTTCCGTGAAGGAAAGCATTTTATAAAGAGCTGAAAACCCCGCCAAGAGTGCTCGAAATGCTCCAAGAGCAGTGAGCGTTGCACAGGGCGAGCCAGAAACTACAAATTACACCATGATGTCCACCGTTACTTGACACCCATCTCATGTGATAAAATTGCATGACACTGACCCGTATAGTTCTGACGTTCTACAACTCAGGCCCGTAGCAGCCCCATTTTGGTTGGTCCGGCGAGATCCGACCTCGATGCCCCCCCCCCCCCCCCAAGCCCATACTCATACATATACCGGTACATGTACATGGATTATTGATTTTTTACATGGAAAGGGTACTTTCAACCCTCTAATGATAATAATGATACATGTAATAACAGGTGGGCATATCATGAATATTATGTACATCTACATCTACATGTATGTAATGAATTACTAATGATACCATACTGCAGCCCTAACTATGAAGGATCAATATTCTGTATGTACAGGGAAATTCCGTCCAATTACATGGGATCTGCAACATCATTGGATGACTCCGTAACACCTACGGAAGTCATTCATTTCAGAACTTTCCAAAGAATCTGCTGCGGTGCTCATTCTTGCTGACAAACTCATTGGAAACAGCAACAAGATCCAGCTGGTCTACTAGCTCCTTGTAGATCGACATCACCATGGTGTAGTTCAATCGATCTTGCCGCATAGTACTCCTCAAGTACGTCTTGATGCGACGCATTGTTGAGAAGGAACGCTCACTCACTGCATTTGTAGCAGGCATAACGAGTAGTAGCTGGACAACACAGACAACTTCACTGTAGAACTTCCGAGCATCTGCCGACAAACTGCGTAAGTAATGGATGCAGTCCTTCAGGCTTGTACCTTCCGATGAGATGCTTGCAAAGTGACTTGCCAGGGCCTTGAGCTGAACTGTAAGAGCACCTGCATCCAGCTCGTGGTAGAGACCTGTCACTTGCTGCATTGCTGCTGTGTGGTCGTCATCACGTAGAGCTTGAAGCAGTAGCTCTTCGAGGTTGCGGTACATTGCATACCCCGGCTGATCAAACCTCTCCTGAATACTGGACACAGCAAGATCCAGAGCCTCAAAGTACGCCACACGATATAGATCTTCAGCACGCTCAGGATGTGTACCTGCAGCTTGGCCATCCTCAAACCTTCGGGGCACCTTCCGTCGACGGGGAAGTACAGGCTCATCAACATCCAGCTTTCCCTGCAGTGCAGTAACGAGAGCATAGAAGCTGGACCACGATTGATCAGACCTCATGTCTTGCAAGGTCTTCACAGTTAAAGACGCCACATGCTGAGCTTCTGCTGCTGACATTGACGTGGCTTGAAGTGAACTAACTTGCTATCAGGTCCAGTACTTCGTGGATGCGTACTCCAACAGCCCACAAACTTGTGCTAAGTTGTAGTGATTACATAGGAGGCGGAGGTGAGCGCAACCGAGATAATCACGAGCTGAAAGTCTCAGCTATGAAGGAGGTTGGCGGATGTACATGATTGTCGATAACAATCCTGGCGAGACAATACACCTTCAAACTAATATTCAAGGACGCATAGTACCATACCACAAAGGTTTTGTGGCTCTGAAGATTCAAAGATTTAATCGGAGAGAAAGCTAAGCGAACATGAACGAAGCAAAGTGGAACACCTCACAGTATTGTTCTTGGACTATGAGACTGATTTAGATGAACAATAAGCAACAAAAACAAGCACCATTCTCAAACGACGATCGTTCCGACGCGTATACTTTTAAGCTTATTTTCCGTTGTTTGGTTGTTTTTGTCCATGCATGCAGCAACGTTATCAACTCAGTCCTTCTTTGAACACGTCCTACATCAGTGCTGCGAAAACCCTCTACATCTCCATTTCCGTAGTTGGTGTGGACACAAACCTTCTGTGGGATATCTGCTGGTTTTCTCCTAGAGATTTTTGTGGCAAAGGTCTTCTTTCAAGTACATCCCGATTCCAAATCCACCTACACCGATCTCAATTACTTGTCCAACTATCGAGCTTAGCATTAACGCTACATGAAACGTCGGGTCATGCCATTCATTGGAACAAGGCCGGGTTATTGCTCCATCGCCAGGAGCTCACCGCAGATAACGTTACTGCCTGGCTACCGGCTGAAATGAAGTCTGTTCTTGGTGGGACACTAGAAAATGTGACGAAATTGCTACACGAACGTTTCGACTCGCATGAACGGTTCCAGCAAGCGCTTTTAGATAGGCTGGAGCAAGATGTTCAAAAGCTGCTACCTCACTTGCATTTGGCCTACCGCTGCAGCAGACTTATCGAGCTTGCACACTGCTTTCATAGCGCTGTAGCCAGAGACCCAACAATGTACTCAACAATGGTACGGGATACGAGTTACGGAACTTTCTTTCCGCACCCATTGTGCACATGTACCTGGACCCATCACCACGACCTCCATTGGAAAAGTGTCTATGAATTCAGGTTTACTCCAGAGCATGACATACATGTACTTGGGACCAGGAGCTGGATTATCGTGACCGCTCAACTTTTACAAGATCATTCAGTTATGAAGCTCCTGATCACGGGAGATCTTCGATCCTCCCAGATGAACGATTACTTCGAAGCTGTCACTGAGTACAACAAAATCTGGAAGGATTTGCCGGTTTCCACTCGCCCCAGTCTTGCAGTTATACACAATGAGTTGGGACTGTTTCTACTGTCATCAACATCAGCTTCGGACTCTAGGAAGGAATATACGAAAATGGAATTGGTGAACGCCATGGTAATGTTTGGCAAGAATCTTGCTGACGGAGCCACCAGCAAATGCGACCAGACTGACCAACATGTCACGGCCAACGAGGGTAGCCCTCCAAGAAGCAGCAAGGGACGCCACGAGGAGGAAGAGAATGACTTGGATGAAGAAGACTAGGAATCTACCACAGCTGGTGATGGTGCTGCGCATGGTGAGGATTGTGACGGTAATTACGACGACGACCAAAACCAGGATGTAGGATGAAAGAATTCGGCGATACACAAGCAGACATTAATTATTTTGTTGTTCAATATGAAGTGGTGTACAGTCTATGCGGACTCGTAGTTTAGTGTTCTACAGCAAGCGAGCAATTTGAGAAAGCTGCAACTCAAGATAAGTGTTCGAGGCCAGGGATACATTCACATAGGCAGTCCTGGCCCTGGCTTTTATGTATGTGTACAGATAGGAAATGTTACTGCACACACACACACACAGTTCCAAGTACGTCACACTTGCTGAAACGTTGTATAATTAGATGTTATTGACAAATAGTAGTATCCCTCGCTGTTGTCCTCAAGTAGAATTTGTTCTTTTGCGCTAATATTGGCCAGTGGCCACCTTGCGAATTTGATGATTGTGTTACCGACTACCACTGCATACTCTATAATTTTCACACGTACGCTATTATACAATAGTACACTGTGATATGTTCTCTATGCGAGGGCCCAGGTTGTTTGTCTAGCTGTTGGCTACGGCTGATTCCCTATTCTTAGGTGCGGAGAATAACCCTCAATAAAGTCACCTTCGGTGAACTCCAATTTCACTTCAATGTACCAGTGCACATAACAGCATTCTGTCTGTACTTGTTCAAGTGATCCCAGGAAATTGGTGTAGGGTGTGCATTATGTAGCTGCCTATGCCCACCACGATCAGCAGCTCCAGCAGCTACAACTAAATAGTGAGAATCGTATGATTTTTTAGCCCAGTCCTTGACATTTTGTGAACCAATATATGACGGTCGCGGCCGCAGGGTCTTGCTCCAGGCACCATTCCACCCAAGATATACTAATTATATTGTTAGAATGGGCCAAAACATTTTTGACTTCCGGATGAACGCATTTATTTGTGCAATGGTTGTACAGTTGTAACAGGAAGCCGAGTGGAGGCGCGGTGCAATCAACACGACTTAGCTTTAATTCTTCTTCTCTCAGGTAAACACCTTGGATATAATATAAGTAAAAGAAGAAGCGGCAAATAAATAACTTTCTCTCCGCTGCACACCTTGAGGTTGAATACTTTTTTCTTCTCAGCTTTGTCGTTGCTATAAAATCTCATCAAATCAGAAATGCGCAGCAGCTTTTATGCAACAGACGCCGTACGCTTACATACGGAGATACACTAAATATACATCAGGTAAAGTTTCGTATTACAAGTATTTTCATATTACTTCCGTATTAACCAGGCAGGGATACTACACCCTCCTTTCCTACAGATTATCACGCCCTCGTGATTTTCAAAAATTAGCGAAGAGTTATGAATACAACGTCAACCGGAAGATGGCAAATTATATCGGAAATGATAACGTTTAGAGTAGACAGAAGAAATGAACTGATAACAAAACATAGAAGTAAAAGCACACCAGGTTCACACGGTCTCTCGGGGTCAAAAGGGAAAGAATGGTCCTCCAAACAGGACGTGAAAGACAGCCAAATTTCTGCACATCGGGGGCTCAAACTGCCAGAAAATTCACAATTTCAAAAAAAATGCACTGCGTCGTGGGAACTTACTCCGGTACACACCTGGAGTGTATAAGGGGATTCTCACACACTTCTCTCACAAGGTTAGTTATGTAAACGTGGCTCAACATGATCAGACGCCTACCAAACTAAACTTGATTCACACACTCGCATAAAGAAAGACTGAAGAGAACAGGGAGACTGAAGGAAGACAGGAAAGAAAATGCCATAGCTGGAATCAGCGTAAGTAACCACCACGGCGGTTGGAGCTACGGCGGAGGACGAACCAGGTTTTATCTTCATCTTGGTTGAGCCGGTCACTCAGAGCCGCCAGCTCGGCGTCAGACAAATCCCCCCCCCCCCCCTCCTCGTCTTGAATCGTGGTCTTCACATTGTCGATAGCATGGCTTGGCGCGACGTAAAGAGTGATGGTCTGAAAATCTGCATTCCACCACGGAAACGAAGTACCAAGTGAAGAGTGGACTCCTGCTGAATGTTGTAGTCACTCAGTGCTCGGCTGGCTGCCAACTGCGTGCCAGCGAAAACCAAACGCTGCTGGTCTTGGGGGATACCCTCCTTGTCTTGGTCAGCAGCCTGCCTGCTGTCGTCCTCCTCAGCTTCGCCATCACCACCGGTAGTATACTACGTAAGAAGCTGGGAGTGGTAAAATACAGGTATTCTACGACTCCTTGGTATGTAGATCATCGAGGGTGCTGCCCGTTCACATCTGTAACAATCTAGAACAGGATCGAACAGCTGGTGCACATGGAGGAGCCTCATGCGAACTAAATGGTACTCCAGGAACAGAGCACATTTCTGTGAAACGTTTGCCAAACTTGGGGAATTCTTCAAAATGTGTACATGTCAACTTGGTCACTTTGTTTGGTAGAACGAGTCCAACCCAAAAGCGTACGCACGTATGCACGTGATCACTTGGGTCCACATTCCACAATCGATGTTCCAGCCGGGTTTCAATGTGAAAAGGTGAAACTGCTCGCTCTGCTCTGGCCTGGAGGCAGGAGCAAGCAGAACATTGTTCAGTTTCTGGCCGACCCAGTCTCAACCAAACGGACTGTTCTGGCGAATCCTGTTCTATGTTGTGCCAAGCAAACGCGGCCTAAGCCAAGGCCCCCTTTAGACTAGGTACAAAACAGTCTATAAGTATAAGTCACATTTACATAGAAGTTTCCAAGGCAACGGCAAGAACCTGGCGGGAAGCCTAAAAATCAGCCCTATCCTTTCAGGCAGGGTGCGAACCCCTGTACAAGGCAGACTCCCTGCATTTATCGTACTTTCACCAGGCAGTCGGACAAACTTTGTACCCGGGTACGACTGTCCTCTGCTTTCATGCATCCCATGCCCATTGCGCAATTGCGTAGGGTAAAAGGTTGCCTGTATATTGCATGTAAAATGTGTAGTCTGAATGCAGGCTTGGAAAAGTGTTGCCTTTTAGGTTTTATGTGATTTTGTACTGGATGTTCTATGTACGTAGTTATTCCTGTATACGATGTACCGGTATGACTGATCGCATCGATATTGTATTCAAAATGGCTGCTCCACAACGAGTCCACTTATACTAAGGATTAGTGGTGCTGTCAGTAGGGAAGTTTAGTCCCACGTAGTCGGTGTGCACTTTGGGTGTGTTTACCACGTCATCACTCAAAAAACCCACTTGATACTCAGTGACCCGCGTACAGCCGTTTTCTGATTCACAACATACCGCGTATGGAGGCTCACCCAGTACCCGCAGCACCTGTTGAAAATCAGAATGCAACGCATTGTGCAAGCTGTGAGCGTGCTCAGTTGAAGAAGTTTTCGATGAACGAAATCAAAATATTCAATGAGCCACGAAGCCTC